GCTTCGGGTCTAACCTTTGATACTGCATTATTATATTCTAATTGTTTTATCTTCGCAATATGTAAAGCAACTCTTAATTCTAAACTTCTATACTGCTCGCATCAAACATTAACTTGCTGACCCATTATGCAAAAGGTACGCTCTTATCGTTTATTTAAACTTTTTTTGAACTGCTTATAAAACTGCTCTTTCAATCATTTCCCTCACGGTACTTTTCGCTATCACATATATATCATATTTAGTCTTAGAGGAAGGTTCCCCTTTTATTCAAACAGATATGCACTCTAATTTACTTGTTTAAGACTTTTCTTATTTCATTCACATTACTTAAAGAATCTCTTTTGATTTCTTTTCCTGAAGTTAGTAAGATATTTCAATTCACTTCGTTTATTTTTAAGACACATAATTTCTTATTAGAGTTGAACATGCACTTCATGCATGTATCGTATATATTACACATTTCATTTCAGCCGATCCATATAGTCATTCCACTATATAAGCTAGCTCTCTTTGATATATAGCTATGATTCCATAACAATCTCTTTGTATACTTGCTTGTCATTTTATCATCTATTCTTCTAAGAATAGAAGAAATGACAAAAATAATACTTTCCATATCATTTACACTACTAGTGTAGATTATATTTAAGATCTATTTTATCATTCTTATTGTTTATGATAAGATAAATCGGGTCATTATGATTCGAACATAACACTTCCTCAACCCAAATGAGACGCCTAACCAACCTGGCTCTAACCCGTATATAAAGAGAATATATAAATATAATATGTCTATGTTTACTTCAGAGAATATCCGATTCGAACGGATGTGATCATTTTAACCAAATAAGTTTCAAGCTTATCACCTTAAACCACTCAGACAATTCTCTTATAATAATATACTAGTAAATGATTCCTCAGCGGTTTGAACGCCGAACCTACTCTTATCAAAAGTATACTTTACCAGTTAAGTTAAGGAACCTTTATTTTAAATACATAAAAAAAATACCTTCATAAAATATTAACAATGCCACTACTACTAGAGTAAAGAGTGTTTATTCTTTTTTTAATAAAATTGAATTTTTAATACTTACGGAAAAAAGATGATTCGAACATCCAGGTGTTTATTACACAATATTTAGCAAATATCCTGCCTTACCGATAGCAATTTTTCCTCCTTTTCTCCCTGGTCCTTGGAGGAAAATAAAAATATAAAGTAGAAAAGGGAGCAAAACTTGCAAAAATTATAAACGAGTTAGACCGGCTACGATCCGGCATCCTCCTTCTCGACAAGAAGGCCCTTTACCAATTAAGTTACTAACTCTAAATCTTATAATTTACGGCCAGCCGAACTTGAATCGGCACACATCGTTTGGAAGACGAACGGTCTACCAGATTAACCTATGGCCGTTTTTTTTGTTTTAGAAAGGAGGGCAATGTTTTAATCTTCTACTCTTCCATCTTCTCTTTTTATGTTAACAATATATCTACCCTTGAAAATGAATGGTCAGTAATTTAGACCCTTTTTATTGAGAGTTTTCTCTCTCTTCAGAAGAGATGAATGTTTTGAACGCGTAAAATTAGCAGCCTCACGTCTAGAATCATAAGAGGTTGTAATTCCAGTCTCCTGATCTGTTACTTCTACTTCTAAACCAGGATTGGGTTTATGTATTCTATTAGCAGCCTTTTGCTTCATTTTATCTGAAGCTTCATGCGTATGCTTGTAACCTAACAAGGAATGAGCAAATTCAAGTATGTTGTACTTATGCTCCAAGTGTTCTAGATAGTACTGTTCCCGCTCTTTTAGTATGGATAGATCACAGTACTCAATAATATCTAGACAAAAGGCGGAAGTACCATACTTTAACAGGGCTCTCTAGATTAGACTATTAGTAGTCTTAATGCGTCCTTACAGGTACTTAATACTAAAGTAGTTAGCCATCCTTTCATTGAGATCTCCAGTTGAACCAATATATGATTTACCAGCCTCTCTTCTAATTCAGCGATATATACCTGCTTTACCTTTGTTTTCTCTTAAAATATCAATCTTCATAGTTCCAGTGTCATTCTAAGACATACGTGGTACCGTTGTGATCTTGTTTTCGCTATCGGGGACAACAGCTAAAACCTCTTCACTATAGGGGATGCTTCGCAACACAACTGCTATATTGTTACCGATATTTTGGGCATAGCTAATTGAGTTATTATCAGTATTAGGCTCAATCTCGACTATTATGTTATCAGCAGACTTAAAGGCCTTGAAACACACAGAGAAAGGGGCAAACTGTATTCTGGATGCTGGGACATTGTAGTATCTCTTAGCGTTAAAAGTTAATTTCATTGTTTTATTACTTTTCATTTTCCTCTTAACTAAGATCCTCAATAATAAATAGAAATAAAAAGAATTAATCAAACAACATCAACAAAATGTCAATATAGTATAGAAGACTCTAGACCCAGATGATGGTTTTCAGTAAAGTGGTAGGCTAATACTCTTCATAAGCCTACACCTATAAAAGCAGTCCCTATCATTACGTGAAGACCATGAAAACCTGTACCGAAATAGAAACAAGAACCATATGTACTGTCGGAAAATGTGAATGAAGAAACTGTATATTCTAAACCTTGTAAACCAGTAAATATTAAGGCTAACATTACAGTAAGCACTATACCATACAAGGCTCCACTTCTATTTCCCTGTATTAAAGAATGGTGGGCATAAGTAACTGTAAAGCCTGATGATAATAATATAACTGTGTTTAGTAAGGGTAGCTCAAACGGATTAACAGAATCTATACCCTTAGGTGGTCACTGAGATCCCATTTCTGCAGCAGGTGATAATGCACTATGGAAAAATGTTCAAAAAATAGCCAGAAAAAACAATGCTTCACTAACTATAAACAAAGCAACTCCCATATTTAGACCCCTTTGTACAGCTAAAGTATGATTACCTAAGTATGTTGCCTCACTAATAACGTCTCTAAATCAAAATGACATGGAAAAGATTACTAGAAGTAAAGCCATGTACAAAAAATACTGTGCTAAAGAAAAGCCATGCATTGTTAAAACACCTGATGTAGTAAGAGCTAAAAGAGATATACATGTAAAAATAGGCCAGGGTGAGGGAGAAACAAGATGAAAAGGATGAGCTTGAAAATTACTCCTTACTAAGTTTGTCATCTAAGTTTTACATTAAGTTTTACGAATACACAGCAGAGTAAACAATAAGGAATAGCTGATTTGAACACCTAACCTACCGTGTGTAAAACGGTTGCTCTACCGTTGAGCTAATTCCCTTATATTTGTTTTGCGCATACGAAGCATGCGTATCATGATATAAATACATAAACTATGTTGCCATATACATAAATGTATCTATTAATAATTGGTTTAGATAAGACCTACGGGGTTCGAACCCATATAATGATGATTAAAAGTCACATATTTTACCAGTTAAACTAAAGTCTCTAGGTTTATTAACGATCATCTAAAATAGTACGTACTGTTGTTTACTTTAGGTGTTAAGCTTTAACAGGATAGTTTACATAAAGATAAGCTAGTCTAATCCTTTTGTTTTATTGTTATAACAATGGCACCAACCATAGCTAATAATAGTATTATAGATGTTATTATAAGCCATATAGAATAACTTGTATACATAATGTTACCTATACTTGTTATATGTGTTGTTTCTGCCAGACTACCATCTCAGGTTTTAGAAGTTGCAAACATTAATTCACTATTGTTACTAGTGGGATTGAAGGATTTATTTAGAGAAAAGATAATAAAGATAAAATCTTTAAAGACATCATTTAGATTAAAGCTTGATGAATTGAGAGGTAGTACTTTATATACAGGATAAATAAAAGACACACCTATTAATAGTGCTAATGGTATACTATTACTAGTATCAGACAAAAGCTCAGATATTCTCACGTTTATTAACATTAATATAAATAAAAATAAGATTGAAACAGCTCCAACATAAACCAATAAATACGATAAACCTATAAAGTTTAAACCTAAAACTAGTAAATAAGATGCTATACTTAAAAAGAGTCCTATTAAAAACAATACTGACACTATGGGGTTTTTATTTATTATAACAAAAATACCCGATAAGATAGAAGCCAAGGAGATAAGGTCTAAAGCTTCCGCACTATAACCATTAGTAAAAGTTTCACTTAGAAGATCTAAATTATCAATCATATTAAATTGTAGAGGATTTATATCTCATGATTTATGTTAACTACATAATTTTTATTTTTACATAGCTCTTTTTAATGAGAAACATGTGGCAATTTTTACTATACATGGGAGTTAGCGCGTATAAGACTCGAACTTATAATCCTTGTGGCCGAAACACATCGCTTAACCAGTTAAGCTAACACGCTCTAATGTAAAAAAGAGAAAACGTATAGCCTTTTAGCTAAATTATAACAATATTATATGTAATATTGTGTTGTTTTTTTTCTCATTTTCACATATTTTTTTTTTAGAGAAATCAGATGCTGATGCCATGATGCTGATGCCATGATGCTTCGCATTCACAAGCAACCGCAATAAAAAGTGCATCCATGGGCTTTAAGTTACATTCTAGTATCTTCTCCTATTAATAGTAAAAACTAATAATGAGAACTATGTGTATATTTCCTTTCATTGTTCTACAAAAGGGACTGCCAGCTTAACTGTATAAACTACCAGTTATCTACAAAAGATATCTAGACAAAGATAAGACCTACGGGGTTCGAACCCATATAATGATGATTAAAAGTCACATATTTTACCAGTTAAACTAAAGTCTCTAGGTTTATTAAGATATATTACACAAATTACAGAAACACATCGGTTAACCATTTAAGCTAAGATGCTTTAATGTAAAGATAAAAAAGTCTTATATTATTTAGGATGCTTCTTGTGCTGATGTTTTTAATAAAAACAAGCAAGAAACACAACGCATAAAAAAAATAAGCGTGATGGCATCAAGCAAGCAAATAAACAGCCCTTAAAGTGAATCGAACACTTATCAAAATATTAACAGTATCTCGCTCTACCGTTGAGCTACAAAGGCTATGGATGCTCTGCTTCTTGTTCCACAAAAGCAACACAAATAATAGTTATCTGCTTCGCTGTTTAAATAAAACATATGATGCTTCTGATGCTGATGCACTTTTTATTGCGGTTGCTTGTGAATGCGAAGCATCATGGCATCAGCATCTGATTTACTGAGGAAGAAAAAAAGCAACCGGCCACAATAAGCACAACAAGAATACTCGGATTTGAACTGAGAATTTGAAGTTTGAAGCTTCCTATTTTACCATTAAATTATACTCTTTGGCTTTAAATCTGTTTTATGCAGTACTTTAATTTTTTTTAGGCTTGCTTGTGTAGCTTTTGTGGAACAACAAGCAGAGCATCCATGGCAGAGCATGTAAAATGTTTTTAACTTGCGGAGCATTAATAGGAAACAAGAGACTCGAACTCTTAAAAGCTTAGTGCTATTGAGTTTACAGCTCAACCCATCTTGCCAATTATGGAAGTTTCCTTTAGTTGCTGATTAGATCTCAGGGGATGAAAATAAAAACTTATCCAACAAAACTTTTCCTGATCTTATCTAACGCCCAATGGTAGAGTCATAAACACCCAAGACTAAACCAGCTTCTAATTTAGATAGGTCTCTATATTTTTCTGTGTTTATATTAACAACCAACACGGGTGTAGCTATAGACTTCCTAATTTTATTTTTGGTTTCTTCCGTCTGTACTATAGTTCTCATTTTGACCAAGGTAGCTTCAGGTACAGTACGCCTGCTTCTTTTTAATATGCTTGCCTCATTATGGGTTGCTAACGAAGTTGAGCATCACCATAAGAAGAACCTGCCTGCTTTAAAATATTATAATCGGGTTTTAGGTTATACAAATATAACTGTTCCTTTAAAATAACGTTTTTAAGAGAACAATCTTCAATAATATCTAGCTAAAGTTCTTTCTTGTTATTGCGAAACATTTCAAGAGTGCTAAATTAATTAACATACGAATTTTAGACAAAGCATCGTGGTTGAAGTCTTTGACAAATATTTTGGATAAATTTATGCTTGATCCAACCTAAATTTTATTGTTTATTTTGTTAGTCCATATATATACACCACACTTTACTCTGTTTTCCTGTATAATCGTATTTTGCACGGATAACTCGCCTAATTTATCATGTATTATTTCTATTTTTGTTTTCATTATCTGCTTCGCTGAGGAAGATAATTGAACTCTTGTAGTATTTTTATACCTTTTACGGTATAATACCATTGAGTTTACAGCTCAACCCCTCATACCAACAAATGGAACCTTCCTTGTATTGGTGTTGCAAAGCATCATCTTTAATAAAACTCCCTATGTACAACAGTGAACAGTAAACAATAAACAGTAAACAATAAACAGTAAACAATAAACAGTAAGCAGTAAACAGTAAAGAGGTATATTAGTTAAGTGTTTAGATGTGGCTAAATCATACTGTTTTCTAGTTAAACACAAACTAAAAAAAGTACGTATGTATTGGGGGTGTTACAAAGCAATAAGGAGTTATTGATCCCTTATTGCTTTGTAACTGGGGTATTTTTAATATTCATTAATCCCGTGCAATTTCCACTACACGAACCATATTTCGACTTAACACCAATCAAAGTCACGCATACGAAGACATCATGCCTAAGTTATTAGACCAAATCGCCTAAATTATAAATAAACACTAGCCGAACTTATTGCACATACTTCTTCCGGCGCCTGACGAGTAGTTAGTACCTATCTGAGATTAGATTCACCGTGCCGTACTTATACACGATTACTAGTAATTCCTATTTCACGCAGTCGAGTTACAGACTACAATCCATTGTTAGTGTTTATCCAGTTTTGGGGGATTAGCTCAATTTCGCAATTTCACACCCTTTTGTAAGGCCTACGTGGCACGTCTATAGCCCACAATATTTAGGCCATGATGACTTGTCCTAGTCCCTGTTATCATATCCAATATAGCGGGGAACTACTCTATCTAAAAATAAAGTAAGGGTTTACGTTAATTTAATGGAACTAACCAGAGTCTCGCGACATTAACTGAAGACAGCCGTGCAACGCTTGTAAAGATATCTTATTGCCTCTTTTTCTTTTTCTTCTTTAATTAATGTTGTCAGAACAAGAAAAAAAATAAGAAGATTAAAAATAAAAACAATAAAAGATATAAATATTCAAATTGTGGTAAGGTTTTTTGCGGGTCATCAAATTAAACAACATACTTCACTACTGGTTTCAGAAACGGTCTAATGATTTCAGTTCCAATGTTGCCAAATTACTCTTGAGGTGGAATGCTTACACTTTCATTTATAGAATAAACTTATTTATCTAATCTATGACATTCATCATTTTCTGCTTAGACTACTGGGGTATCTAATCCTGTTCGCTACACTAAGCCTTCGTCCCTCAACGTCAGTTATCACATAAGGAGATGCTTTCGCCTATGCCTGTGCCATCTTTTTGGAGGTATAACAGAATTTCATCTCTACACCAGCAGTACATTATAGCCCCCTCATAAGTAACTCTAGTAAATTAGTCCCTTTTTATTACTTTAGGCTTGATTTACCGTCTAGGTACCCTTTAAACCGATTAAACATGAATAACACTAGTCTTCTACGTATTACCGCGACTGCTGGCACGTAATTTGGTCAAGACACATAAGCAGACAATGTCATTATCATAATTCTACCTAGAATTTTATTCGACATAGTCGATCTTGCATCATCTGTACAATGATGCAAGTAGCTATTGCTATACATTCCTCCAAGTTGCTGGTTCAGCCGTTAGGCTATTGACCAATATTCCTCACTGCTGTGACAATCGTCATGGGCTTTATTCAGGCCCACTGTGGTCGATCAACCTTTCAGTTACGACTTCGTGCGTATAGCTAGTTAGGCTTTTAATCTTAACTACTACCTGGCACGAGATACGAACTTCTAAGAGCGAAACTTAACTTTCTTTATTATTATAAGGCATTTTTTCCTTACTCCAAGGTAGTTACATTATCTTAAACTCACCTGTACACCACTACTAGTTAAAACTAGTCGTTCGATTAGCATGTGTCAAGCATTTGGACAGCGTTCATTCAGAGCCATCATCAAACTCAACTCTAAAGTAGTATATTTTACCATCGTAATGATACTACTACTAATGTAGTGTTTTAACAAAGAGACAAATGTAAAATATACATATTATTATGGTTTTACATATTTTACATTTGCTAGTTATGCCTCGATCAAAATCGTGGTGAAATATAAATACAAACTTGAACTCGATAATTTGTTCGTTATTATTCCCATCAGTAAAATAAACTTTACTTGCGGAGCATGTAAGTTATACCTCTTATTAGGTAAGACATTTTTGTATTGATTTGCTCAGACGTCTTGATATTTAAAGTCTGAGAATGGAACTTTAGTGATTTTAGAATTTCAAAAAGACCACTAATAAATGATTTATCTAAGAAAATAAAGCCTGTATACTTAGGGGATATATCAGTTTAGTGGTATCTTTTATAGCTATTACCAAATTTTGTTGCAGGGTTAAAGGAAAAACTTTTAACATTTATATTATTAAGCGGCATTATAGTGTTAGGTTTTTATATAAACATATGATGATTTGACTTGTTTCAGATTCGAACTGAAAGATTAGTAGTTTTCTTTTCGTTTTTTATTTTTATTCATTTTCTTCTATTGTTGTTCCTTTTATCCTTTCTCTTTAGATAAAGGAGAAAATGCGAATAAAATTATAATAAACTTAAAAAGAAAAACAAAGATGAAACTACTTGGTTTACCAATAAACTACAAATCTGTTTAACTGGATACAAATAAGCCGGTTCCTGTTATTGTCTGTGAGTCTAAATGAAGGCTAGGTTTAGGATTGACATTTAATAGCTAGACTAAACTGGACAAAGTAAACTTTTAATTCTTGTCACATATATAAAGTATACCTCTTATTTTCTGCTAAAGACCAACACTTTCGTATCTGCACGAATTTGTATAAGATATAAAAATTATCAATAGACGTATGCATAAACCTAATAAGCTTTGGACTTCCCTATGCTATTTACTTAAAAGTAGCATTAAACAATGTGTATCACAGTACTAACCGTTTTTAGATGTAATTTTATAATGGTAAAAAAAAAATTATATCTACACAACCTATGGAGATGTGCACCAGCCCTAGGTTAAAATTGATATTAGATAGACAAATTAAAAACATAATCAAATAAAACAAGTAGAATAACTATGTTAGCAGTAACTATAATTTAGTTATAAAAACGCGTGTATTAAATAAACGTACAAACCTAGTTAAATTGTATTTTGAAAATATATATATCATTACTATAAGTAAAATAAAAGCAAAAGTTATTTGATTTAAGAAATAAAAAGGTACTAGTTGTGGCATATCATTAGAATACTATTAATTGTTGGTGCTATCCATTCTAATATATGCATCGTAACCTAATTAAAGATAAAAGGGTCAAGGTATAAAATAATACATAAATGAGCTCTTTAGACGTCTGTTTGTAAGACTTAAAAAGCCTTTTTTGTAATTAATCAAAGCTATCAATCTTAACATTGTGCTAGGCCAAGACTTTCTTATTAAAACATAGTTGTTATAATTTATTAAGAATAGTTTATGTAAAAACACATTTAATTATAGAAGAAGGAGAACTAACTGTGATGCATCGCAACAAGCAAGCCAGTACTGAGACTGGTATCGATAAACATATAATTAACACGCCTTTCTCCCCGCCGGCCTGTCATCTGTCCATCTTTTATATTTAACAGCTGGAGAGTGCCTGTTGCTATTAAGTGTTGGGTTAATACTAAAATAAAAGGTTAACAATACTAATATTGCGATTAAGGATATGAGAAAAACCAAATTAATCCATATTGTAAGAACCGTGTATCAGGGTAAAGAAATTGTAGAGTTATCCTTGTAATTATCCTCATAATAATAATTAAGGAAATTGCCCTAGCACTCAGCAATTATCTCTTTTTTACTTCTG